ATGATTTAATAAGATTTAGGTACCCAAGTCTTTTTGGGTCCTTGAGTGTTAGGTGCAAAGTGGTAGTGTGATTCATTTTGTGCCCAATGCCTATGCCTAGTAAAGCAAACGGGAGCTATATGTCCTACCCTATTGCAATAATGGCAAACTACGTTTGGGTTGTGCATCCTCCTAGGTTGATAATAGTTGCTAGGGGGCTAACCATATTCATCCTGTTTTGAGAAAACCTTGGTTTTTGAAAATTTTCCCTTCTAGGTGTTTTAGAATTATTTTGTCTATTTGAAAAATTATTTTTATGCACAGAATCATTTTGATAACTTTTCCTAGGTTGTCTATCATGCACATTTTCATTCCTAGATTTTTGTCTAGGTTGTCTAGTGTCCTTAGGTTGACTAGATTTTCTATTATCCTGATTTTTAACTTTCTTATGTTGAGCCTTAGAAGGTTTTCTAGATGTTTGCTCAACGTTTTTATCCTTAGATTCATTTTTATCAAAACCTATTCCTTCCTTCGAAAAGTGCATGGTGTCTAGAAGTAAATTAAGATCTTTGTGTGGTGTATTAAATTTCTTAACCGTACTCTCAAGTTTTGCAACTTTTTCTTTTAAGGTTTTGCAAGATTTTTTTTTTTTTATAATTTTTTTTTTATAATTTTTTTTTAAAAATAAACAAAGAATACAAACGTCTGAACAAGCGGGAACAGGCTCCTCACTTGTATAAAAAGTAAGCAACAACCAAAGAACTATAATGTGAAGCGCTTATCGGATATTGGAACATAGACTTAAGTGCAATTACAACACCGGCTCAAAACATTCCACTTAGATCTAGGAATAAAATCATTCCCGGAACCTCAACCCCGCAAGGGTAAGGCCTAAGGTTAGATAATCCGATCAAGAAAAAATGTTCTAAGCCAAGAAATGCAATCGACATAAGTCCAGTCTAAAATCCAGAAAAGACCAACTAAAGAATGAATAAAGTAATATGTGCAAAAATAATCCAAGTGAGCCAAGTAGAGGTCAAAACTGGAAAAGCCCAAACCATGAAGGAAGGCATGTGTGCTAGCCCAAATCCGCATCTGAAGCCCGACCTGAGGAGGCCCAAACCATGAGAGTCCAATAAAATTAGCCCAATCATCAGGCCCAAACAGAAACCCAATCTCGAATGGAAGCCCAATCTCTCCCAAGCCAGCCCAAGAGCCGCTGGCCAGTCCAAGCCCCGTGCCCAGCGCCCGTCCAAATCAGCCCAAGCCCAGCACCAGGCTGTCCAGTCATCAGCGACCAGCCCAAGTGCAATCGGTCCAATCCGCCAAGGTGAGCAGCCCATCCGTGAAGCCCGAAGCCCAACGCCAATGCCACGGCCCAACTAGAAGTCTCAACCTAACCAAATCCAAGTAGTCCAGCCGAGTAGAAATCCAAGAAAGTCCAAAATCCAAGAAAATAACCAGTGAAGCAGTCTCAAGAAAGTCCAAATCCACAATGATGAAGATGAAAAGTGAAGAGATTCCAAGAGGGGAAATCCCAAGAGAAATGGAGAAGGAAGGAAGAGGTACCACTATGGGTCAGTGGCCAACCCTTAGCCCATTACCGCCGACAGATAGCGGGTGCTCTAACCTCACGCGCAAGCACTGACGCAGGCGGAAGAAACCTCGTC